GCCTTCCTTAGGTAGCGGTTGGGCAATATTAGGGTCATAAAAATCCCCGGGATTTTCCGAAACGGAAATCCCATTTTATGTCCCACTCTCTAACCAATTAGATTTCAAAATAATTACCTGCACTGGTCACCTTTTCGCGACTCAAAGCACTCAAAACGACTCAGTCAGCAGTATCGTCTTGTATAATTTATTACTATAATTTATTACTGTTTGCGCCTTGAATAGTCACTTCAGTGTGGCAAAAAAGTATTCCGCCCCCAGCGATGGTCAGCGATAGCCGCGCTCCGTCCCTACGAACCGTTTCGGCCAAGAGTATTCAGAGCACAAAAGGTTAAATGTCCGGATAATCGAGATTCTGACTTTTCAGTTCCTTTGCACGCATTCTCGTTCGAACAAGCGATCTCCGAAAAAAATTGATCGTGGTATGGAGAACAGAAGCAATATGGAAAGTTCAGACGCAGCTTCGAAGATCGGAGTTTGATGTCGATTTTGACATGGTCGAGACAAGAAATTTTCGAATGGCTGGCTTATCGCGCTCCGAGGCTCCGTGAACAAAGTTTTTCACACGTCACCGAAAACCTATTGTAACGCACGTGGCGGAATGTCAACAATTCCGGACAGTCTCGGGTCGATTGTAACAAAATTTTGCAAATGGCGCGCGCCCGTAGCCGCGTTTTATTGCGAAGTTGCTTGTGTACCGGCATTTTTATTACATTCCAGTGTGACACAGTTACGTGATGCCGAGTATTCCATCGAACAGTTCAACAGTTTTCCAATACATACGAAACGCGTGCCGGAAGCGGAACTTTATTAAACGGATCCTGAGCTTTAACTAACAGAAAAATGTGTATGAAATTTTTTTTATTTCAAACGAACACGGTCTTCCCGCAACGGTAAATAAATATCGGCGAAAATATTTTTCGTTATTTTGAATTTTCGTCCATGCCGATGCGTCCGATTTCATTTCATTTTTATCTCGTCGATGCTGATCGTGCAAATTCGCAACTTTCACGAGATAAATAGCAAATTTTAAATCAATTAAAAGCCGATAAACTATTAACCGAATACTATTACCGAGACTAACGTTTCGAGAAAAAATGAACACGTTCCAATAATATTAATCGCGTCGATTATTAATTAATTTGAACATTAGTTGCATTAAACACTATGAACTCGTAGATTTCCAAGTTTATCTTGTCACGTACAATTATGCACACTTTCTTAGATACACGAGAAACATGGCCCTGACTCATGCATGTCGTGATTAGATAAGAACTCGTTTGATATGCGACGTGCAAAAATTTGATTTATGTTTCTAGAGCTGTTCCTCTGCCACTGTACAGCCAGTAAACATATCAGAAAAAAGAACCAGAAATTAAGTTTCATCGCCACAATTGTAATTTGTTGTTTACGTTGTGATTTCAAGCAGAATTATACAGCAAAACGCTGTCCAATTTATTCCTCGCTTATTTGTATAATTTCCATTTATCTGTTACGCTTATTTAATTGGTTATTTGCACTACAATTCAAAGATGAATCTATTATATATTATATATTAAAGATGAATCAATTATATTCATCATTCAAAGATGAATCTATTACATATTATTATTATTATCTATTATTATATTATATATATATTATTATATTAAATCTATTATATATTAGACTGAATTTATTTAGACACCCTACCATTTTTATTGTAATGTTTGCTCGAATTAAGAAATTTATTCGATCATTTCCCACGAAAGTAGCTCCATAGTACCAAAAATTGTTTAAACAAAAAAATGTGGAACCGTTCATTTTGACCGTCATGGTAGGTTTAGTGTTAAGTTCAAGAACTGAAGTGCAGGTGCGAAAGCATAAACACGCACCTGCATTTATTAACATAATTACTTCCCACGCTCTCCTCGAGCAAGCTACGTGGAAATCGTGCGAAATTGGATATGACGTTAGAACATCAATTTCAACCACTGAGGACAAACGAACAAGGGTCTCTGACCACCGAACGACAGCTCAGAAATTCATACCCTGAACGAAATACCCCAACCAAAACCTGGAACGTTCGCATAGGAAAAGATCGGTCGAAGCACTGGACGTTTGTAAAAAAGAAAAAGAAAAGAAAAAAGAGGAAAGAGTGGCAACAGAAAAATTCGTATGAGCATCACGCAGAGATCAAGTTCCCCGCAGCGGAGACTCACACTTTTCCCCTAGTTTCGCGTACTTACTCATCCATTCGCCCCTTTCGAGTCAACATCTATATGTCATCGTTCGCACACGCGGTGCACGCATACGCGCGCGTGCGTACACAAACGCCCCGCGGTGATAGGGCGACGATACTGTCGTGTGCACGCGCACACACGAGCGGCGGGGACATGTGTACGCACACGCAGGACGTATCTGTCAAAGCATATTTTTCTTACCATCGTAAAACAGTTCCTTACATCCTATTTCATCGTTCTGTCGGCGAGTTTCCCTGACGTTTCGACACTTTCCATCTCTCCCGCTCTCTTTCTCCCTCTCTCATTCTCTATCTTTCTCTCTCGTTCGCACTCTCTATCGCTCTCATTTACTTCTATCACACGAAAATAAAAAACTCGACGCAACGTGCGCCGCCGTCTCGTTCGCTCTCTCTCTCTCTCTCTCTCTCTCTCTCTTTCTTTCTTTCTTTCGTGGCTATATTACTCACTTGCCGATAATCTCGCAGAGCTCGTAAACCTCGTCGAAGAGAACCTCGTCGTCCGCCATAGTGGCGACGAGGAGGTCGAGTAAGTCGACCGAGCGAGGGGTCTGAACGCGCCAAAAGGCGCGTCGGAGCTATGCGAATTCGTAATAATTCGGAAGACGTGCAGGTGTACGCGTATTCCTCTTCTCCTGCGATCTGGGCCGACGTCGTGGTTTCGGTGTGGTGCCGTGTGGAATACGCGACGGCGTGAACGTAGCCGCGTATCGTGGATTCACGGCCGCCTCTCCTTCTCCCACTCTCTAAACTCCGGCGACGGACGGGTGTTCTCTCCCTCTTTCTCTCTCTCTCTCTCCGTTTCTCTATATTTCTCTCTCTCTCTCTCTCTCTCTCTCCTATCCTCTCTATATCTCTTTCTCTCTCGATCCCGCAACAACGATGAATTTGTTTTCCTCTACGCACACGTTACGCACATACACCACATCCTCTTATATGTACACAGCCGCGGAGATAATACACCCGTGTAGCACGCCCGGACTGTCGTCGTCGCACTGGCACTCGAATCGGTGTGGACACGAGTTCGCGGCCGTATTATAACCAAGCAGCATCGAGCGGACCCGTTGAACGTGGAAAATCCCAGCCGTGGATGACCGAGAATAGTGTAGGTTGCCGAATACACAACGACGACGATGATCGACACCGCCTTTCGAGGTCCTGCTCGATCGTCCCGCTTGCCTGGTTTCTCGCCGGCAAAGCCAGCGCACGCAACCAACCGACAAGAATATACGTTCTACGTAGTACGGCCGTTTGCACAATATCGCTCGTGTGTGTCCCGTGCGTTCTCGTGGGCCACGATGGGAAACCGGATCGGGCCGAATCGGTTGCCTCGTCGAAACGGTCGGCCGTACGATTGACAAGGACCGACCAGCTTTGGATGCGGCCAGACGGACACCGATGCCCTCTGCACACGCTCTCCCCGTCTGTCAAACGCTGGAGCAGTAGATTCACTCGCTCCGAAGCAAGACTGGTTGCATAAAACGCGGCGAGCGACTGCGCCGACCGACAGCTCCACCTCCGCGCCCCGCCGACGATCCCGAACACTTCGGGGGAGCGGGCGTGGCGCCGCTTCGCGTGCAACCTTTGCCTTCGCCGCTGATTTTGATGCACTATATACCCCTCGATCCGTCGTCGTTCGTTTGCGCAACGTTCGCGGCGAGCGCAATCAACGCTACCATCGTGCGCGCGGTTCGTGCTTTTTCACGGAACACCGACGTCGCGAACTTTCGACACGTACCGACGTGTTCTTCGACTCTGACGATAACTTGCAGAGTTATCCACCGCGTTTCGTTTTTATGCGAGGAATCATTTTGGCGGTCCTGACATCTCTTGTGGACATATACCGAGATTCGTACAGGGCCAATGCACGCAGCGACGAAACGATGAAACCGGCATACAAAGTTACCGACAGTTGATTTTGACCGATAGTTTAAGCTTTTACGTACGTATATTGTTAAGATACAGTTATATTGTTAACAGTTGTATTGTTAAGATAAGTCTGTATATTGTAAATCGATGTGAAGACAAAAGAAGTGTGGAACAATGCATATGAAGACGATTATTTGATTCAAACGATGTCCGAGTGAGCTACTAGAGTAAGTCACTATAGTGGCGCATCGTTCAGAGAGATGATATCCGCGAAAGCCACTATGGTGGCGCGTCGTTCAGAAAGATAACATCCACGGAAGCCACTATAGTGGCGCGTCGTGCCTAAAAGGTTAAGCTTTCTGCCACCACAGCTAATTAGCGTTATACGGGCCACGGAACGGAGCTTCGAGATTTTGCCATAAGAGCCGCCACTTGTCAGTAATTACGCTATTTTTCAAACATTTAAATTAGATTTTATGACATTAGAGTGTTACGGCAGAAAAAATTCGTTAATTATATCGTTCATTCTGCTTTTCGTTCTTGACCGACATCTTCTGCGAATTTTCTTCGGTGATTACCGGTTTAGTGACTACCGATTTTGCAACCGACTTTAGCTGATTCTTGTAATGTATATCTTGCGCTCGATCTTTGTATTTATCCTTGATGTCTGGCCACAGCCTCTGCAATAGAGCTAGGGCATTAAAATTGTTCGATAAATGAATTCGTGTGAAGTTTTCTTGTCATCGTAAACTTTAAGAATCTTGTCTACTTTAATTGTAAAAGCTGCGCAAGTGTTTCACACGCAGGAAGATACTATAGAAAGTATGTACACACAACACTGTATTTGTCAATATCGTTCTAAGCATCTAAATAATAAATCAGAAAAGATCTGTTCCAGGTGAATATAATTTGAGGTGTGAACGAAAGACGTACTCCTTTATTGATCGATACGAAGATCCCTTCGCACACTTCATCGAAGACTCTTTCAAAGAATATAGAGGAAATGACCATGGTGAGAACATAAGTGGACGTTCGCTTGAAAATATATCGGTAGAGAAACTTCGAAGCCATCGTTAGGCCACGATCACTTTTACCGACACAAAGTTATCTACAAAAATTCGATCCTTCAATAACCCGAACAAAATTACTTCGTACCTCTTCAAGTTCATGTCAATAGACTCTCCTCCTTAGCGTCACGCATCACTTGTCCATATAACGTCTATTACTCTCGAGCGTTTGGCGAGACGATAAAGGGTTTATACAATAAAATGTTCTTTTACAATGTAATATTCTTTCAATAATATACTTCGTAAAAAATTATATGTACATACTGATAGAAATAATAATGATATATATATTATACACTAATAAAGGATTCCGAAAACATTTGGTAATCTGCAGATCTGACACACTCAGTGTCAGGTGGAAAGTGCCTTTCTTTCTATTATCGCACATTATCGGATATAACAGATTAACCATTCTGACAAATGGAAAATAGTTCGGTCAGAAATACTAATTACCGTTCTCATCGGCTATGCCGAGATTCCGCATTTCCGAGATCTGCGGTGTTTGCAACACTTTACGCGACAATCTAATCATTCCACTGACCGGGTCTCGTCCGAAATATTTCACTTGTATCTCTTGACCGACCTCGAGACCTAGTACAGAAGGATGGTGAATTCTACGCTGGTCCAGCTGCGAATTGGGCAACAACGTCGGTTGCATTTTAGGGTACAATATGATCATGACCCCGGTGTCACGAATTTCGGTGATCTTAGCCGTGTAAATATCACCAAACATTAATACCGGCTCAACCTCGTTCGTAAGAAGTTGGTTGATCATTTCTTTCGCTTCGGTCATCGCGGCTTTATTAGGCGCGAACAGAGAATACGTGTCCTCGTCTTGCGGATTTATCTGTAAAAGCAAACGATAACGATCCATCATCGACCGACAACGAAATCGGATTCGTTTGGATTTCAAAAACCTACTTGCACGCCAGTCTCTGTTAAGATTTTCTTCACATTATAGCCTCCAGGCCCAAGGAACTTCGCTCTCTGAAATATGGGCACTTGAAAAGTTTCGAAAATCGGTTTATTTTCCGTTTTACCCTCACGGGGAGATGATATCACTTTGTTCATGGTTTGAATTATTTTACTTTTTGCCATGCTTGCACTGTGAATACTCTCCATTATCACTTTCAAAGGCAAACCTGGTACTTTAACATCGAGTTGCAACGCGGTAAATCCTTTTTTCGTTCCAGCTATCTTAAAATCCATATCACCTAAATAGTCCTCTATACCCTGCAATCAACGGAATTGAACATTACTGTCTTCTCCACCTACTTCGTGCTTGTATTTCAATGAAGATGTAGCTACTAATATATCCGTTAATATCCTATAATCGCCTATATCGTTCTGGTCGCTGTCGAGGGGCTTTGATATCAATCCAATCGCTACGCCGGCAACTGGAGACGATATTGGCACGCCTGCGTCCATTAACGCCATACTGCCACCACACACAGAAGCCATCGATGAAGAACCTGTACATAATCAGATTATAGCTTTATACACTTACCGTTTACACTTAGCTTATAACTTACCGTTTGACTCTAACACTTCGCTTGTAAGCCTTATAGCGAAAGGGTAATCTTTTGGTATGACTGCTTTCAAACCTTTCTCTGCTAACGCTCCGTGACCTATTTCTCTACGGTTAAATCCAGTAACCCTTCCGGTATTGTTAGTTGCATATGGTGGAAACTCATAATGTAGGAAAAAATTCTTGTCTTTGATACCACTGTAAGTTTAAAAAACATTATAGTCTCTTGTGTTGCAGAAATGTTTTTTTTTTTTTTAATGAATTGGAATACAGAATACCTAACCAGTGACGAAATTGCATCCATCTTAATGGCGTTTTCTACAGAGTCAAGAGTGACAGTACACATAACTTGAGTCTGTCCTCTTTGAAAGAATGCAGAACCATGAAGTGGTTCAAACATACCTACTTCACACTTTATATCTCTCAAATCATTCCATTTGCGACCGTCGCATCTGAAACCATCGAATTACTTAAAACTCCTGATCAATGATTAATTATTACCTGTTCACGTTACCTTTTATTATTTTCAAACATTAGAGATCTAAATACGTCTCTAACAAGCGTGTTAAACGCAGTTTCAGCAGCTACGGCAACTTCTGAATTATCTTTTGCCAACTGATTTAACATTCTTGTTCTTAAACATTGAATAGCATTATCCCGTGAAATTTTGTCGTGTGTATAGTGGTTAAAGATTTCATGTAGCTCACATTCTGAAAATTTTTTCACAGGCTCCATCATAACATTAGTTTCTTCCTCTGGAATTTTAGCCTTAGCCTTAGGTTTGACTATTTTATTTTGCAACCGCAATATAGTTTGTATAATTAGCTGACATTCTTTGGCTGCCAAACGTACAGCTTTCCGGAGATCTGGCTCTAAAATCTCGTTCGCTGTACCTTCCATCATGAGAATTAAATTTTTGGAGGTGGATGTTACAATAAGATTTAGTATACTATCTTGAAGATTACGCCTCGTAGGATTAATTACAAACTCATTGTCAATTAGACCAATTCTTACAGCTCCTACAGGTCCGTTCCATGGGACGTCAGAGATGCTTAAAGTGGCTGATACGGCATTGATCGCCAATACTACAGGATCATTGATTCCATCAGCAGCCAATAAATTGCATACTATTTGGGTTTCATAACAATATCTTTTGTCGAACAGTGGACGTATAGATCTATCTATCACTCTGCTCGCAAGAATTTCACTTTCTGAGGTACCTATTTCTCTACGAAAATAATTCGTTGGTATACGACCAATCGCAGCAGCTTTCTGCCGATAATCCACTGTTAATGGAGTGATTTCACTTTTGTTTTCTTCATCTTTTCGGACTACAGTGGTCATAACCGAGGTACCATCGCATGTTGCGATCACGTTTCCGCTCGCGAATCGAGCATACTTTCCAGTCAGAAATTTGATTGTTTTTCTGCAATAAAATGGTAGAAATCGAAAACATTGTAAATGAAAACTTTTCTCGAATCATCAGTGTACACTAACCTAACTTAGTTTAATAAACACGTGACTTTCTTACTTATCTGATAATTGTATTTCCGTATTCTGTTCCGTGGATTCTGATGGCTTAACTTTACTATAAATGTTTTCATTTCTGCTACATGTACTCGCTCGTAAACAAAGTAAACTTTTGTTCTTTAACAATCCGCTGTGCCTCAGTAATACCATCTTCACGTGTACAGAAATTTGTTTTCAACATTCTCATGATAGCCATCGGTCACAAACAAAAGATTCTATGGCAGAAGTTCATTCAATTTGTCCACAGACTATGAAATCGCTGTATGAAATATGCCGCGTCTGTTAATTGGGAATCCTCTAGGAAGGGATCGGAAATAAGATTTTGATCTAAATCGGAAATACAAACAAGATACTTTGAAAGGTACATGAAAGGTACTTTTCCTCACTTCTTTTTTCCGTCTAATTTGACCGGTTTATTTGAGTCTTGACAGTTGACCTGAAACAGTTACTTCGTTAAATTATTTGTATTTTCCATACAATTAATTCAATTTCAATCATTAAATTATTCTCTCATAAACAATACATATGTATATCATGTAATCCGTAATTTGTACTTTTTGTATAATTTCAATATTTGTTGAAAATTAGTCATTTTTCCTTCTCAATTATTAATCTAAAAACAGTATTTAGAAGCAACAAATTATAAATTACTTTAAAATGAAAAGTGCTTTTACGCAGAACAATTTGAAATATACCTTAATTTCAGTCACTCTCGCTTTAGATCGATATAGCGTCGCATAAGTCGCATTGTCCGATCAATCCGATTCCATCCTAGAGGATCCCTCTCTCATCTAATGATTTACACACAGGAAAATTCAATATATACATAATCAATAAACAGTTGAATGGCAATATTTAAGGACCCTCAACAATTACATGTTGTACAGAACACTATAATTTATGATGATTAAAATGTGATAAATGTTGCTTATTTAACAAGAATTGTGCAGTTTGTGGCGTAACCAAAATATATGCTTCGTGAATAATGATTCGACTATTGCACTTGTGTTCGAGAATTTCCAATGCTAACACACGAAGGTTTCATAACAGCAGTTGTGTGCTATACGTTTGGGAACCATATAAACAAGATTATCCAATAAAATATGATGAGGTAGAGAAACCAATAAAGTTGAGCTTGCTAGGAAGGTTTAAAGCAGGTTGTAATGATATCAAAAGAGAGGGTTCTTTATTTCTGAAAGAAATGCGAGACTTTTTCAGAGTTTATCCAACTATGATAGTACCAGAAGTAGAAGATATAATTTGGAAGTTTGATGGAACCAAAGAATGTCGGAATCAGTGGGTCCTAAGCTGTGACAGCGATTATAATGAAGGTTACTCGACTGCTAAGTAAGTATCCAATGCGTAAACATAAATCAAGTTGTAAAAAATTATTTATATATGTTCAATTCTTTTTTCAGGCTAGAGTTTACAAATTCCGGTACTGGGCTGTTTCATGGTCATATAAGTACACGTATACCTAAGGATGGTAAAATCGGGAGAGCTGGTTATTGTAACATAATGACCGTACCAAAGACTAAATCATTTCATAGAAAATCTATGTATGATTTCTCTTCTTACAATACTTTGGTTTTAAGAATTAGAGGAGATGGAAGATGTTATATGTTAAACGTGTTACAAAGAGGACATTTGGATTTAACACGCGATTTTTGTTACCATTATTTAATGTACACCTCAGGCGGTCCTTATTGGCAGCATGTTAAAATACCATTTGCAAAACTTGTATTTGCCATAAAAGGTGGGGTACAAATTCATCAGAAGCCGATGCCAACAGCACTGGTAACGAATTTCGGAATCACGCTCGGCGATAAGATTGATGGGCCTTTTCAATTAGAAATTGATTATATCGCAGTATGTTACGATCCGTCTGTATTAGAGACATGTGCATATGAAATGGTTGATATCAGAAAGGCTTAACTATTGTAAATAGAATAGATTTATAGAGACAGTAAGAGTGTATTTCTTGTGCTCAGGAATAAATCATACATAATGTACCTAGCGAGACGACTTCGTATCCGTCTTTTTGCCTAGTAACTTGTACGTATTTTTCGATAATAAGTAGCTTATACCACCTGCTAACGTTGTTAATGCTGTGATGTAACACAATCCTACCAAAACCGGGTGATTTACAAAATGAAATATAGGAGCGGCCAGAGTTCCGGCAACAAAGGACAATTGAATGCCTGTGTTAATTTTACTTATGTATGTCGGTGCTAACTGTACAGTTGCGTGTGTGAGATCGAAATACCTCACTAAGGTTTTCTGAAACATATCAATGAACGGATAAGAGAACTTTTAAACTAATGCTCTCCCTGTTCCATATTACAGTATACGTTCCATTTCAATTTTATACTAGAATTTGCAGGTATAGCCAGTTGCTTACCCAGATAGATTTATATTTATATAAATTAATTCTATAATATGGCACAGAGAAAATGTTTCTTCGTGGCATACATACTGGTGGAGGTAAGGAGCGATATCTAATGTAAGAAGCAGCAGAAACCAAGGCAACATCCCTCACAATAACAAGACACGTTAGAGGAATGGGAACCAATCCAACCCAAGCCAGCGATAGGAACAATGTGCCCACAAGCAATTTATCTGCGGCTGGATCTAAAATACTTCCAAGCTTTGAAGCTTGGGACGTCCATGTACGCGCAATCCATCCATCTGCCATATCACTGAATCCTGCAATTATTAAAAGCCACAATGCTACCTGTAATATAAGTGAAGAGATATTAGTACGACCGAGTTACAATGATATTTTAGATGTTATTACGTGTTACCTGGTAATCCTGGGACAAAATTAAATAACTCAAATAAGGTGATGTTACAATTCTACCCACACAAAGAAAGTTCGGTATTGTCCAAATGTTCTCCTTTTCTATAATTGCCTCTACTTTTCGTTTGGTCTGTTTAATGTCTTGAAATATTTGCGACCTTAATGCTTTTCTCCTAGCAGTTCGTTCATTTTTTGATACACAATTTTTATGGTTGTTACTGATTCCAGTCGAATAGACGCTTGCACGATAGGTTAGATATTGCTTCAAACATTTCTTTAACAAATATTTATTCAAAGTTGCGGACTGCTTGAAACGTAATATGGTACAATAGCTCATAACCATTTTCCTGTTCTTGAAACGGTATAAAGAGAAAAGAAATAATAATAAATGTCGTTGTTTTGTGGTGCAATATCAAACTCATTATTTAATTTGAAATCTCACATTTCACAACATAGAAAAATTGTGTGCTATGTACCTACAACATGAAACACGGATGACTTAGAAGAATTCGACCGTACAGATATGTTTCGACAAAAATTTCAAGTCCTCTGAATCGTCTTTAACCTTTTTAATCACTAAAATTAAAAGAATTCGTCAGGAGCAGCATTTTATTCCTGTATGTTTATTTAATTAGATAGCATTTTCACGAACGTCCGATACAATCTAATAGATGTACAAAGTTTTCCTCGAGTGCGTTTCACTCGACATTGAATTAACTGAAATCTTTCGTGAGAGGTTACGTTAACCAATAACAAATAACGCATGTATATGCAGCTTACCCCTATAAATATATACATTGTTGAGTCTCATAACGCGATAAAATCAATTCGAAATTGTTGCCTTTATACATAACCATAATAACTCTAATTACAAGATCGATACAACAATTTTATTGATAATTTTACTAAGTATGTTTTAAATTAAGGGACGTGATTATCTATAACTCCTACAAGAGAACCGAACAATATGGCAGGATAAATGCAATACCTATAGTATAAAATAACGGGAGTTACGCTCATCGAGAATAGAATTAACTGCGACGCCGTGGAATAAAATTATCGATCCTATTTCGATCAACATTTTAATCGTTTCGCAACCGAAGAAGAATCAACAAAACAGTCGCTATCATAAGATATTTACATATATTAATATTTTTCGAATACAAGAGTGAAGATGCGTTAATAAAATATCGATTATCGATAACGTAAACCATCGTTTTTCGATATTCATGCCTCGACTCCTATGTGAAAATAACAATTTTGAAAGAATAATACTCCTGCGTTTGACGCTACAAAGGTTTAAATTATCCCGTTCCCGCTCTTTTTATCTATCAGCCACCAATTTCCTTTCCATCGATCGAATCAATCACCGATTAAAAACTTCGCAACGAATATTTTAGGAAAATCGTGCTGTCAACCCTAACATTACGTAATAAAAAGTGGAACGTTCCATGAAAGAAAATCGTGCAAACCTTGACGCGACCTTGACCCGTCTACTCAAGATCAAACAGTTACGACCAATTCCAGTAGAATTTCTAATGCATCAACGCTCTTGTCTAAGCCATTGTTTTCGAGAATGCTTTGTTTCTAACGCATACATTACACATAATCGAGCATTCCGGGACTTTTTTTTTAAGGATTCTCTGTACATAAAACGACCTTTTACATGCGATTAGTCGTTATGTTGCTTTATACTGTATGTTTCGATAAAACGGAAATATTAGCGGGAATCGTTTGCGAACGATTTGAGAAAATGATTTCGTATTCGATTCGAATGAGAACCGCTGCCGATCGGGCTGCCCCTCGTCGGAGCATCCCCGCGGTCTCGGAGGCGCAGGCGTACAGCTGGTCGAGGTATTGCAGGCGCACACGTCTCGGCGAGCAACAGAGTGCTGTGTGTACAACCCCCGCCCACGTATTATTATTCGGTCAGCTCGTGCAACCACGTTTCCACGGGGATCCACAAACGGCCGAGAACGCGAGAGCACCTCGTGCCGGAGAACAAGGCCCGCACCGAGGCGGATGATGAGTCGATTATTCGACGTCGAGAACTCGCCGCGTCCGATCGACACAACCACGTAAGAGGAAGGCTTTAATGCGACACAAGGACGAGCATGATTCTGGCTGGATCAGACCATTTTCTGGCGGGTAAGTCCACTATACCACCCTCCGTGTTATGTGCCACGGCTAGCGATCAGGGGGATACGCTTGATCGATCTCTCTCGCCTCGCGACAATGCTACTCGATGAATTAAAACCGACGAGCTAATTCCAGCCGACCGTTGTTACATGCCACCCCACAAACCTGCTGACACATGTGTGTTGTGCCAACCAATGTTCAACATTTCCTCGTTCTGACAATGGTGACGGGCCTCTGTGTGCATGGGTGCAAGTGGTCTACGTGACGAGGCTGATATGCTCCGTGTGCGTGTATGCTTGAATGTGCCATGTCGCGTTGCCATTGGCGTCCGTGCTCAGCGGTGGTGGAAGTGTTGCATATCGGGAGGGTTGCATACGCGTAGGAAGAACTGTACGCTCGAAAAAAAATTTTCGTTCATCATTCGGAAACTCTTCGGAGTTGTTTCTTTATTCATTCGCTCTCCCGATTAAGCTGCACGTGGGGCGTGCACTAGGCACCAAAACTCTGCACGCGTTCCTCGAGTCGCAATAATTACGACGTTGAATCAAACATGAGCTTAGAGTAAATGAGTCGACCTTGCTCGGTCTCGATATTTTTCTCACGGAACAAGACCGTGTATCAAGATGTTATATAGACCGGGGAGAAATAGGAATAAATACATTTTTATTTACAATCATTTACGAGTGATTTGAAGGATGTACAAGTTCTCTCTGTACAACTCTACATGTGTATTCAAGAGCACCCCATCAAGGATAGAAAATGCTTTTGCGATCCGAACGGGAAGGAAGTACCGATGATCCATGGTTGTGAACGATGGGTCGAGCTAATGTACTATCGTTGTCATGACACCTAGGTTCCGAGCAGTTTCGAGAACGATCCGCTCGGATTCCACGCGTACGCCATCGATCCTCGGGAACGGCAGAACTGTCCATTCTGTTTACGTTCAGCGGCCGTTTGAGAATGTATTTCAAGGCGGACCGGCATGCTTCTCGTCCGCAATGCGCAAAACGAGGAGTTTCCCGTTCGAGCTTGCTGCGCGGCGCCTCGGATATTGCACGGTTCCGTCGTCAAAGGCCGGCCGATTATAATTATCGTCCCCGTGGACACGTGCGATCGGCCGATCGAACCGAGTCGAGTCCTCGGAAACGGACAACGGAATTTCCTTCGGCACCGCTGGCCCCCTAAGTTAGATCCTAACCGGGCTCTGCTCGCCGCACGATATTGCGACGACGGTGGCGGCGCGCAGTGGCTCGGGTCGACGATTCCTCGGACATTCTCGAATTACTTTTGAATCGAGAGACACCTCAAAATGAAAGCTCTGTTTAATAATGCGAAGAAATATCTCTTTCTACTTGATATACAGCCGGAATGTAAAAGATGAGCATTGGCAAACAAGTTCGAACACGTGCTGCGTATTTTGTCTCTAGAATTAGCACACAAAGTTTCATTAAAATCGGCAATCCCCCAGGTGTGCTCGCTCCTTGTCAGTAGAAAAGGTCTCCGTACTTTTTGGGATGTTAGAAGGATTAGCTGAGTAGGCAATGTTTAAAAAAAAAGTTTTTGCAAAAATTAAAATTGATTGAAATGGCAAAAAAGTTTTTAAATTTTTTATGTATTTGTGACGAAAATGTATACGTTACATTTTGTAGATCTCGGTAACTAAAATGCATGGCTGAACATTTTTTTGAAATCGGCTGACGCGAAGTCAAGCTACGTCTACGAACATTGAAAAATGTAAAAATCTTCAAATTTCTCACACTTTTTGTTCGAAAGTGAAAAACTGTGATTTTCGCTAACTTCAATTATTCGTAGCTCATGACTCAAGTCGACTGACTTCGGTGAAATTTTCAGTGTGCTACCGAGGTTTACAAAATGCATCGTTTAAATTTTCGTTATAACTTTTATTATTTTTTGTTATTTCGATAAAAAGATTGCAATTTTTACAAACACTTTCTTGCTCGTTGTCTGAAAGACTAGTTCGGTTCAATTTCCAAAGAAATTATTCCGTTTTAACAGGTGTACGTAGACTTTTTCTACCGAGTGTACAATGACAGGAAATATTTTTTAATAGCAGCACTTTACAGAAAGTGGACCGACACACCGCTTGAACCAGAAGGACGTTGTAAACGATGATATTGCTTGTTTGCTGGCATTCTTTTAGAGTATCGTAAAAGGTGCTATTTAATACCAAATAATACATTGTATTTCAAAAAAATATGGTCATAAAATATTGTTCAAGCCTCTCTAACAAAGGAGAACAGATCAAAATTATGATTTCGATTCAGTTTAATTAGTTTGAGCATTTTCGGAGTCGTAACAGATAATGTCTAGTCTGCGGATTTTATGCAGATACTTAAACCAGCGAAAAGATATATATATATATATATATATATATATATATATATATATATATATATA